TCTCGGCCCCAATAGTCTATCCCTCGATCATCACATCCTAATTCCTGAAAACACGAACACAAGGGAAAACGAAGCAAAGACAACAAAAATACACAAAAACGAAACAAAAGATAGAGAACACAAAGAACACAGAATTGGACCAAATAAACTACGAAAATCCTATAAGTGGGGGAAAATAAAGAGAAAATAAACCCAAAATAATGACACAAAAATGGGACAAACATCTTCATCAGGGAAAGACGCACCAAGCAGAGAAAGAAAAAAAGAGAGAGCAGGAGAGTACAAAAATAATATTTCTGCGTGTGTTATTTTTCAGTGAGATAAAAATAGAGTGTTTGAGTAAATCCTATGAGTGTGTGAAAAATACACCGGGTTGGGTATTAACTCTATTATTCTTTGTTTAAGAGTGAGGTTCTCACTGAGTCACTATATTTTACATTTCTAGTGTAAGGGAGTGTGAAAAGATATTGTAATTATCTTGAAAATAGTGGAATTGTTCGGAGGTTGTCCCGTGGTTTTTTCCTCTATTTGGAGGTTTTTCCACGTTAAATCTTGGTGTCTTATTTCTTGCATATTTTATTTATTTGGGATATTCTTAGTATGTTTTGTGGTCGCAGTTTAATCTGAACTTCCACATCAGAAAAGAATTATTCCTGTTTTATTGCGAGAGATTTTCTTTTGTCATTCTTGAGTTGCTGGGATTGAGATTATTATTCACCATTTCACGTTAGTATTTTAATTTACATCTTCCGCATTTGCGCATCTGAGCCCAACACAAGATCCACTAGATCTCTTACCGTTCCGTCCTATCCACCATCATCTAGCAAACCTCCACTCGATCTTTACCGTTCCGTCCTATCCACCATCATCTACCAAACTTCGGCAACAGCAACGATGACTTCATCAACATCACGAATCTAAGTGGCAACAAGGTCGGATTTGACTCCAACATCAATTATTTATATTAAATAGTTAGGATATTCTCTAAGAGTAGTTGAAATTGTAAAACAAAATCTTCTATTATTACATTTATTTTAAAATTTAAGTATAAATTTATTTGATTAATTCTCAGGTAATTGATTTATGGTAAATGAAGTCACCATATTACAACCTCAATAGCAACATCGAATAAGTAGCATGTCAAGAAAAAATGCATAGTAACCTTTCAGATCGTAACATTGTCCTAACAAATGAGTACTGTAAATATTATATAATCAAGATCCATTTACGCCTAACTTCAACTTGTTTCGTCATTCTTGTTAAAATCCATTTAACAAGAACATAACAACCTCTTTTTATTGAGGTTGTCTTTTGGTGAACGCAACTTTATTGCTAGGAAATAAATCTTACCGTATCTCATTTCCTAGTTTAGCACGTCTCTGAAATCTCCTACCTGTTAGTGCTTGCACTGTATGTAGGATTCTGTCCCCTCTTCTACCAGGTCCAGGTCAGCTCGTTGACCTCGCGACCTTGCAACCCCTTATGCTTATCAGGTCGTGCAAGAGACCTCTATTATGACCTCCAGGTCGTGATAAACCCTCTTGTATCCGAGTTCTTAGATGAGGTCAACTTGCTAACTCATAACAAGAGTTGACCTGTACCTCGAGCTGCCAGTGCGAGCTCCTTGACTGATTCAAACCCTATTATCAAGCTAGAAGCTACCCGGGATTGGTAGAAACCTAGCTAATCACTTTGACCGGTCTACAGAGGCTAGTATGAGTGTTATAATTTATATCAATACTGATAAAACTTGTCAATGAGTCTATGATCATGAAATACTATCTATCCCTTTTTTTTTCCCAAAAGCAAAACTATTCACGTTTGGAAGCACTGCCACAGATAAATTATTTCAGTTTTAATCCGCACAAGGTGAGTATGTTAGAGCAAATTTGCATTGGCTGTATATATGAACAGGGGCGTAGCCAGAGGGTGACTCACCCGGGCTCCAGCCCAGTATTTTTTGATTTATTTAAATATGTAGTACTAGAAAAATATTTTTTAGCCCATGTATACCAAATAGGTTCTAGCAGCCCAGTATAGAAAATATTTCTGGCTACGCTACTGTATATGAATCTGTCAAGTAATTTTTATGTTTAATATGCCCTTTCTTTTTGAAGTGTTATTCATATTAATCTATATTTGTGTATCTAAATAATACATTAATATATTTGTGTATCTAAATAATACATAAACCACTGATGCTGTCAAGACACAACAAGACACAATATTTAGAACCAAGTTCACCAACAATACACTTTTCCTTAAAAAAAACTTGGAAACTGAAAGAACACAACAAAGTACATGTACATAAGACACACAACACAAACCGTTTAAAAAAAAAAACACGATCCGAAGCTAACAGAGAGGGAAGAAGATTTGAGGGCGTAAAAAGGGCAGGGCCCAGCAATACGCCTCGACCAGCTTCCCGTTGGCTGCCATCCGAATCACGATTCTGCGCAGGGCCCGAAAGAAGGGGGGCACCACCGGGCGAGGCCCCAGGCTGAAACCCCTCCGCCGGCCACCGAGACGTATTATGCCGCCCTTCCGCCGCCTCCTGCTGTGGCGGCGGCACCACCCCACCACCACGCCGGAGCTCGAAAGCACCGAGATTTCTAAGGCTCTCCTGCTCAGCATTAATGCTGTTGGTCTAGAATTTGAAGGGTTGTTATATATATATAGTGTGTTTGGGGGATTAACCTGCAAAGTTGGTTAATTATGAGGGATCATTTTGTATATTTATTGGCCATAATTTGTTTAATGTGTTGGGGGAAAAAATGAGGTGTGCAAACTTTTTTTTTTTACAGGGACCTTCCGGTTTCCAGATCCACAGGGGAACCGACTAATCCGGAATCGAGCCGGGTAGGACCACAAGGGCGGCAAAGCTCTCCCTCAAGGGTTTTAAAACTGCTGCATTCCCAGGACTCGAACTCGAGACCACTGGTTAAGCTGGAAGAGACCCAAGCCATCTCATCCAATTGCTCTTAGGTGAGGTGTGCAAACTTTAATTGCATCATTTGTTATGTATCTTTAGAGGTGTTAGTGAAATGATTACATAGTGTTAGGCTTTTGCCGCCATGGTTTTAATATGGAAAAGTTGAGTATACTTTCTTTAGGAAAAAAAAGAGAGAAAAAAAAAAAAGAAAATTAAATGAATTGTATATATTGTGAATTTTATGCTGCAAGTTATCTTTGATGTTTTTAAAGGCAAATGATTATAGTTATAATACTTGTAAGATGAATTTGGCAACAAATTATAATATTTATAAGATGAAATTAAATTTGATTAGGCTCAAGTAGGGAACAAGTAGGAATGATGAATGATTCTTCCAATTATTATGTTTAGGCTGGCCCAAAAAATAAATTGGACTATTGTTCAAAAATATAAAGCCGAAATAAATTAACAGGATCATCCACAACATATAACAATTGCAAAATTGGTAACTTGGAAAGCTTCGGGAGGGGTTCTCTGCAGAAAACAACTTTGGTAACCTGCAAAGCGTCGGGAGGGGTTCTCGGTAGAAAATCTCTGACGCTCAAGTTAGTATTTCGCTTGCGAGTAAACGAGAAATATATGATTAAGTGCATAAATATGTGTTGTGTATCGAAATAGAACCCAATCGCCCTTATGCACTAGGGTGCCTTGATCCCAATAGTACTAACAAGGAAAGAGATCAACCCGTATATGTTTTTCTAGTTTATCATGTCTCTAGAATTTGAGGTTCCTTACCAAGATATATTTTCCATTCTTAAAGGATTCTATCCCCTCTCACCATACGACTCTTAAGGTCGTCTTGAATGACCTCACCGCCTACTTATCATAAGCTGCAATTAGGTCGTAACCGCGACCTTCATCCTCGCAGCCTCTGGGTTACCTAGGTCTCCTCAATTTTCCGAGCCCTTGAGGTTCTCTGACCTTCGTGCTCTTTGACTGAACCAACCTGTACCCCAAGCTGCCTAAGCAAGTTCCTTAACAAGGTTGTGTACTATGGACGAACTAAGCTCATTTGATTCGGCCATATCCAAGCTAACCACTCAGGTCGGTTCACCGAACTATTCTGAGTGTTGTATCACCAAGTAAAAGCTATTTTCTTTTAATTTTTTTAATAAAGTTACAATAAGTTACATGGGGATTGGTAAAGAGGGGACTCTAAATTTCGAAATAACCATAAAGTACATGGGATCAAATCATGTATCAACCAATCCAATACTCTTAAAATTGTGGGAGGCAACACTTGAGCTACTAGCCCGTGGAATCTTAAAAATGTATAATCACACAATTATTTTACACACATTTATTGTAAGTATAAAAACATAACTTTAAGGGTAATTACACACATTTATTTTGCACAATTTTTTTTTTTTTTTTTTTTT